ATAGCCTAAAAGTTTTAAACAAATTGAACAACAACAAAAAGAAAACTAGAATAATTAGTTTTCTCAAAGAAAATAATAGTTAGATTAATGTAAATAGTTTTTAACTATGTATTTTTAGTATTCTTAATAAAAGCACGCCATTTCGTGTTATAAAAAAAAAAAAAAAAAAAAGATTACTACTACTCCACACTTGGGACTTGCCAAACAGGTTTTTGGTAATTCCAATTTCTTGGATTTATTGTACCGAAGCTCCTATTCGAGATGGTGTAACCAAGATTACAGATATTTGGATCTAACTAATAATCTTAATGTTAACCGATACAGATCTAGTTTTTTTAAAATCGTCGTCTGTGGAATTCAAACTCTAGACCTGCTATCTAAAGGTGCAACAACTCCACCACTTCACTAAATCGCCACACCCTAATTTTAAACTTTTAATATAATAAATATTAATAATCTTTTATGATAAAATCAAACAAAATATAACTTTATTTAAATATTTAAAAAAACAAATTTATTCAAAATATAGATATATTAAAAATCAAATCTAGAATTTGAAAATTTTTTATTAATTTTAAAAGTTATTACATTATTTCAAGATTATTTAAAACATAATAAATATTAATAAAACTTTTATAATAGAATCAAACAAAATATTTAAAAAAACAAATTTATAAAAAATAAAAAAAGAAAAAAAATAATAGCATTTTTCAAATATAAAAAAAAAAAATAATAAAAAATAAAAAAGTTATACAATATTGCAATTCTTAAGATATCCTCAAGATTTTCTAGATTTCTTCAGATCTATCTTATTAATTTTAAAAATATATAAAATAAAAGCAAAAAAATAATAGCATTATTCAAATATAAAAAAAAATAACAAAAAAATAAAAAAGTTTTTTGGTTCTCCTTGCTCTTTAGATATCTTTTTTTTTTATTCTCTTTCTGTATTTTTCTTTATATCTTTCTTGATTTTACAACTTCATCTAGCTCTTCTTCAGAACTATCCTCATATTCTTCAGATTCTTCAAAACTATCCTCATTATCTTCAGGTTCTTCAGAACTATCTTCATTTTCTTCAAGTTCTTTAGAGCTATTCTTATCATCTTCAGGTTCTTCAAAACTATCTTCATTTTTTTAAGTTTTTTTTTTCTTTTCTTTAGAATAATTCTCACTATCTTCTGGTTTTTTATACTCATCTTCAGATATATTTACATAATATTTAGAATCTTAAAAATTTTTCAAATATATTCAAATTATTCTAAATATTCACAAAAACTAAATTTATCTTATATAATTATCTAAAATTCCTTACCTTTTTTTGGTTTTTTTCTTGTCTAAAATTTATTTAAAATTAGTTTATCTGTTTATTCAAAATTATTAAAAAATATTTAATATTAACTTACTTTTTTGAAATCTTCTAAAGATCTTTTAAGTTTGCTATATTTATTCTTAAATATTTTAAAATTTAAAATTAATAAATAAAATCACTAATATTTTAAAATATCTAAATATTTTATACTTTTTTAGTATCTTCACTTTCTTTAGAGCTTGAAGATTCATTATCGGATTGTGGTGGAGTAAATTCATTATTTCTTTCTAAATGATACTTTGTTTCAAATAAGTTTTAATTAGTTTAAATAAATTTAAAATAATTAAATATAATAATAAATACTTACAAGATTTTTAACAACTCTATGTTTTACAATACTTTTGCTAATTGCTAGCTTCTTGATACTAGGATTTAGTATTGTTTGACAAATTGCAATAGCATATACAATTTTTTTATTTGTTGCTTCTCCTGTTGGCCAAATTTTTTCTAAAATACGAGTTATAATAATTTTTTGTTTTTGCTGATTTTTTCCATTTTAAAATCTCTTCAGAAGCTGATTTGTTATTAATTGGGTTTAAAAAATCTCCAAAAACAAAAAACATAGCATTTTTAATTTTAGTAGTTAAAGTAGTTTACAAATATTTAACTTTTTCCAAAAGCTATATAAAATATTAGTATAAATATATGTTTAAATTTTATTTAAAATATTAAAACTATTCGAAACATTTTGATAAATTTTTATATATTTTAAAATTTATTAAAATATTTCAAATAGTTTTAATATTGTGAAGTTAATAAAAAATCAAAACAAAAATAAAATTTTTACTGATTTGCTAAAATTTTTTGCATAATAGGTTTTCTACTTATTTCTAGTCATACTACTCATAAACTCAGTATGATTAGTCCTTAGATATGACTCTATTGCTATTATTAGTTTATTTTCAGTTAGATATATAGAATATTTTATTAATGCCTTTGCAGCCTCCTTTACCACTTGCTATTATTTAAAAATATTAGAATATATTTAAATTAATTAAAAATATTTACTTCTTTAAAAGATTTTTCATTTGTAGCATTATATTTTTCTACTAATTTCTCTTCAAATTCTTTTAAATAATTTTCTAAATAAGTAACTTGAGATCTAAGTTGTTTAATTTCATAAATTATCTTCTCTTGGTTTTTAAGTAGTTTAGCTATAGTCCTTTTAGATACTTTTAAACAAATTTAATTAATATATATATTATAATAATTACATTAAAAATATTTTAAATATTTTAAAAACCTTTGACAGTTTTTGATCTTGCTAAGAGAGTAATACTTTCTTTAATATTTAAATTATTAAATCTTTTCTGAAAGCTCTTATTAACAACTAATTTTTCTTTTGGTTTTTTTCTTGTTTTTCTCTTGATTTTCTTAATTTTATCTTTCTTTGGTTGATTCTCTGAAATTTTCTTGAAGCTAAGATTTTTTCCTTTGAACATCTTTAAGCCTATCAAAATATGTTTGAATATATTTGAATTTATATGATTAAATAATATACATTAAACCCAATAAAGAATTTTATAATTTATCACTATAGCTATATATTGCTAGTTTATGTAGAGTTTGAAATTTTGTTTTCAAACATGATTTGTAACTACAATTTAAAACTCTGCATATAGAACTATTAGACTAGTGATATATTGCTATAGTGATAAATTATAAAATCCTTAAATAAATATTTAATAATAACTATCTAATTTAAAAAAAATCAAAAAACTAGAAATAAAGTTAGCTTATTATTATTATTTTTTTTTTTTCTTTTCAGCAATCTTGCTTTTACTTTATTAGGCTTTATAATATTAATATTCTACAATATTAAAATTTCTTACAAGGAGTTATTCTCTTTGTGGTCTAAAATTACAAGTATTGGCTCACCCAGTTATTCATTGAACACCTATGTGTGACCTGCTATAGTAAGATTTTACCTCTATACTGACTTACTCTGCAATTAAGTATATCAATATTTTATTGGATAGTTTTTATAGCCTGTCAAGACTACTAAGTACTTTTTCACCAATTTGCTTGCCATTCACCTCTAATTCAACTCAAAACTTCTTTCTTTATTGTGTTTGTAATTGCTTTTTATCTATCCTCTTTCTCTTTACTTGGTAACTTTCTTGTTAATATCATTATACTAGTTGTATTTTTTTTTTTTTTTTTTTTTTCCTTCTTCTCGAGATCCTGCTTTTTTTTGTTCTTCATGTTATACCTACTTCATTTTTCCATTCTTGAATCAGCTTGTATCTTGCAGTCTAAATTCTTTTATAAATCCTTTGTATCTATTTTTTCCAGAGTTTTACTATAAAGGCTTCTGCCTAGTTGTTAGAAACAAATATTGTTCTTAGTTCGTTAAAGTCTTCTTTTGAGATTAGGCCTCTAATCTATCTTTCTTTTTTTCGATACTTTTCTTCTAAGCTTCCTTTACTCATCATTGCTAGGATCCAGTTCTTCTTTTCTTGTTTGTTTTTGAGCTCTTTAGTTTCTTATAAGATCGTCTCTACTTCTTGCTCTTCTATCTCTCTTAATAAGTCAACTAAAACCTCACAGCTTACTAGATGTTCTATATTTTCTATCTCCTTTCTGTATACAATACAGGTATTGAATTTATATAGTTCTGGTTTTCTCTGATTTAGTTTCTCGAGTACCAGAAGTAGATTGTTTATATATTTGAGTTCAAAGATCTGTATAGAGTTTGATTTAAATATGTAATTTTGCTGTTTGGTTCTACTTGCTAGTATCTTATAGAAGATTGGCCTATATTGTAAAGTTTTTCTTTTCTGGTACATTTTGTTTTGACTTGCATGAAAGAATGTCTACTCTACTCTATTTATTACTTTTTCTAGCATTTTGATAAAGGAGCATATTGGTTTCTTAACAATTTTATCCTCCCACTTATACCTTAGCTTATATTCTTTGGTACTTAGAGCTATAGAAATAAAGAGTTCTGTAGATATTGTACCCTCTTTGGCTTTTAGATCTGCCAAGTCATTGTAGAATTTGCCCAAGTGGCCTTTAATCTTGACAAATTGTAGCTTTAGTAATTTGGTCCTAACTATTTCTACTATTGTAGCAACTAGACCACTATTTTTGATCTTTAGCCACTTTTTCACTTTGTTAGTCCTTTTTAAGCCTTTTTCAATTGCTAATATTGCTGCATTACTATCAGCTCTTATTTCTACTATTTTTTTCTTTGGTGTAATTAGAAGTGCAACAAGTATTGCTACTAGCTCTGCTCTTGTTGAAGAAAACCATTTTTTGGTTGCAAATACTAGCTGATGGGCTCTTTGTCCTTCGTTTGTTACTTGTACAATTCCACAATCCATATGTTTCTCCTCTGTATTCTTTGTAATACTAAGTGAGCTATTTGTATAAAATATTAAGCTATCTAGTTCTCTATTTTTTTTTAAAATATCTGCAAGTCTATTTCTAATACTACTATTCTTAACTGCTTTATTTATTAGGCACTCCTCCTAATTTATACAACTTATCATGTCTATTTCTTTCTGTTTAATATTATTCAACTCTTTTACTGTTACTATACTTTTTTCCTTTGTACTTCCTTTGATTGCCCTTTCTAACATTTGTTTTTTAAAGATTATTTGAGAACCTTCTTCTACTTTTTGCACTAAGTTAGATATATCTCTCAGTTTCTTATACTTTATAATTACTGGTGCTTGCTCTTTGTTATACTTTAGTATATTTTCATTTTTTTTGCTTGTGGGTTCTTCTTTTCTATGTAATTATCAATCTCTATATACTTGTTTCTTTTCTCTTTTATTTTTCTAAATTTTAATTGCATGTAGTTCTCTTCAAGCCAAATAATCTACTCTTTCACTCTTTTATTATCTTTTACTTTTTTGGTTGTTATCCTGGGTGTGTTTAGGTTACAGGTTTCTAATTTGTAGAGTGGCTTTATTTCTCTTGTTACTATATTTGCAATTATCTCTTTTTCTACTTCAGTGAACCAACTTGGTTTTTTTCCTCTTGAATTGAGTTTATATATCAGTTTTATTTGTTTCTATATGTACAAATAATCACTGTTCTCTGACAAAAGCTGTGATAACAGGTATAAACCTACTTTACTTGCACTTGATTTCTTGTAAATAAGATTACCTTTTTCCAGAATTTTTGCAATTTTATAATCTTTGTTGATTTGTGCAAGTTTGGACTCACAGTTTCTTGTAAAATCATTTTCTTCTATTGTAAACCCTAGAGATCTTGCTTCTTGTATTATTTGTACACTTAAATTTCTTATCTTAAGCTTTCTCTTTTCATGTAATTCTTGATTTGTTAATATACATTTTACTGAGTCTGCTTTTAATTGTCCCTGTTTTAATCTTATAACTGTTGATTTTTCCAAAGATCCGCTTGTGTTTAATCGGACCAAGAGTTCAGTAAAGTGGTGCTCGATAAGTCTATTCTACAAACTTTTAAAGTTTATCATTCCAGGATACCTTGGTATAATATTTGCTACTATAAATAATATTGCTATTTTTCACTTTACGAGGCATAGCATAGGTTGATGAATCTTATCATATTGAGTTCTGGACAGGTATAAAAGCATAAGCCTATACTCCAAGGTAGGTATCAAAACTGTATTGTTTATATATATTATTTAACTAAGAAACATTTTCTTATACTTAAGCAAACCAGCTATCTTGTTTACTTTCTTTTTCACTCTATCTATATCTGATCTTTGTTGATCTCTTACTAAAATCTATACTCTAAGAAAATGTGTTGATTCTTTAAAACTCTTGGCCAAGATTTTTGTTTTAGGATTACCTGCCTACACAAAGTATTTGTTGATATCTTTTTTTTTGTCTGGCTTAAATACTACAAGTTCTGTTTTATTTGGATTTATTTCGATATCATTTAGCTCATAAAATTCATTGAAAATGTTAATGGTCTCTTGCATATTCTTTTGACTACTTGTTATCCATGTAGTATTATCTGCATATGCCAGAACTTCTATACATAATCTGTTGCTTTCTATTGTTTAACAACTACACTGCATTTCATATTCTAAACATGCATCTTGAACTCTATATAAAAGTGGGTTATAAAATATTCTCCAGACCAAGAGTAAAAGAATCTCTCCTTGGTCTATACTATCTCCAGCTTCAATAAAGTCTGTATTACCATACTTTGTTATTATACTTAATTTTCTATTTTCATATAAGTATATAAT